GAGCTGCTAACTCCTTGGAAATCAGTAAGAGTTGGATGTGACCCATGGAGTTCTGTGAAGGCTGAAATTACTTTGGACTTTCCCTTGCTTGTGGGGAAATGAGGTCATAAGTTTCCCACCCATCCTTGCTTTGTTTCATCTTAGACATGTTTACTCTAAGTGAAAAATTCAGCTTGACCCTGAACTTTACCCTTGGTTATGGGCTGCTTCTAGGCTGGAAGTTTATTCATTTACTAGAGGCCTGGTGCATGAATTTGTGCACTTGGGGGGGGGGGGGGCTCTCAGCCCGGATTGTGAGAGGGCACAGGCCAGGCTGAGGGACCCCACCGGTGCACGATCAGGGCCAGGGAGGGCCGAGGGAGGTTTGCCAGCTGGGGAGAGACCGCAGGAGGGCTCCAGGGCATGTCCAGCCCATCTTGCTCAGTCCTGATCGGCCAAACCCCAGCAGCAAGCTAATCTATGGGTCAGAGCATCGGCCCCCTGATGGACAGTTCATGTTATAGAGACTGGTCAACCAGTCAACTGTCTTGCCCCTGGTGGTCAGTGCACATCATAGCGGCTTTAGCATATCATTAGCATATTACGCTTTGATTGGTTGAATGGCTGACTGGACGACCACACACTTAGCATATTAAGCTTTTATTATATAGGATTTTAAAGGTCTACTCACATACCTGTAAGCAGGAAAAGCCATTTGTCCACATTTTTCACTCCCCCCACCCTTTTTTGTATAATGAGAACAATCAATGAGACCAACTAGATGAATAGGCCTGAAGGCTTAGAGGAAATTGGAAATAGAGAGCCTTGTGAGATCCCAGGGTGTGGTGGGAATTGTGTCCAAATTATCAATGCTTGTCATGATACCAGAGATATTAAGTGATGTGCATCATATTTAGATATGGTTATTTTTATTGACAAATACATGTGGTTGTTTTTTTTATAAGACTTGGGAGACATTTCAATTATAATACTAAGCCATTTATTCACTCTAGCTCTGTTGCTGTGCACCTTTCTGACTCCATTCCTTTCCCCCCTTTACAGGTAACCACCACTTGGTGTTTATTGTTCCCAGGCATATTTATGTATCTTACCACATATGTATGTCAATAATATATGAATTGTGTATATATGTGCGTATGTATATCATCAACTAGGATAACTCATGGAATGTAATCATAAAGTAACTTTATTTTTGTCCATTTTTACATGTACTTACTGAGTATAATTCTTCCCCTGTACTGGAATGAAAACTGAGGAAGGTCCATGATTACTCTTGTCATTCTTGGGTTGAAAAAAAAAAGTTCTATGTTCTCTTTAAGTCACAAAACACAATCCCAATTCAGTAATTAAAATGTCCAGTATTGTTATAATCAAAACCCCCCTCTGGAGAATGGTACCATATTGGTTGTCAATATGGTTGCTGTTGAGAATTCTGATTACTTATAACATGTAACCAGACTACTTCTATCCTGAAGTAGTCCCTCCATATCATTAGATATTAAGTACAGATCTCTTTCTGCAACATTAAAAATGCCCCAAAGATGCTAGTAGGCCTTTCCTTTCCAAATTGTTTAACTGAAGCACACTTCATTTTAACATTAGACAGTAACAGCTACACTAATGTTGCTTTTCAAGCACATAAACCTTCCAACATCTAAATTAGAAAATGGACTAAACAAAACATTTGTACTTTGTATGAGATGTACAAAGATGTGTAAAAGTTTTGCACACCAGTTCTTTAATTGGTGAGAAAACGTTACATTGCATCTACGTTTGAGTCCTTGTATAATCACAGGATCCGACCTGCTGGTTATGTTGTTTGGCACTTGGTTGTTCCCAGAAGACTAATTGCTGAAACATTTTGAATACAAACTATTATGTTCATTTCCTGGCAATAAGCTCGTCTGTGAAAATGAGGTAGGAGAATATATACATGAACAGGAACATTAGGATCAACAACAGATCCGGTGCCCTGGCAGGGTGGCTCAGTTGGTTGGAGCAAAAGGTGCTGTGTTTGATTCCCATCAGGGCGCATACCTAGGTTGCGGGTTTGGTCCCTGGTCAGGGCGCATACCAGCACACCAGAAGCAACAGATCAATGTTTGTTTCTCTCACACTGATGTTTCTCTTTCTCTCTCAAATCAATAAACATATCCTCCAGTGAAGATTAAAAAAAACACATCTGGCAACCAATAGGTCAATCCTTAGCTTCCCTTCCACTTTTTTATTTATTTTTTTTAAGAACTCTAAGTGAAACAAAAAGAAAAAAATTAAAAGACAAGGTGATTTGCCGAAACCGGTTTGGCTCAGTGGATAGAGCGTCGGCCTGCGGACTGAGGGGTCCCGGGTTCGATTCCGGTCAAGGGCATGTGCGTTGGTTGCGGGCACACCCCCAGTGGGGGATGTGCGGGGGGCAGCTGGTCGATGTTTCTCTCTCATCGATGTTTCTAACTCTCTATCCCTCTCTCTTCCATTCTGTAAAAAATCAATAAAATATATTTAAAAAAAAAAAAAAAAGACAAGGTGATTTGTTAATGAAGATGAAAGATTTCACTACCAAGGTAGAAAGTGACAGCACAAAGTTAAATAAGTTCTGACAAGATCAATACTTATATTGTTCAGATATTGTTTTTAAAAATCGGAAAATTCTGCTGGCATAAAGTTGTTTTAACTTGACAATGACACTTAACCAAAAATCTTTGGTTGTGCCTGATTTATAAAATTATTTCTCTACGCAAAATGGAGGCTTGAAAAAAATTTTGAGCCTTTTTAAAAAAATTGAATTTATTGGGGTAGCATTTTAATAAAACCATCAAGTTTTCAAGTGTACAACTCAGTAACACATCATCCACATACTGCTTCATGCACTTTTAATGTAGATATTAAGCTCTTACAGGGCTTCCTACTTTTAAGCAGAATTTCACAGAACTTCACATTTGCACCATTTGAGGTATATGGAAAGAACTTAGGGTACAATACAGCAACCTTTGTTGTACAATACAACCTTTGTGTTGGTCATGTAATTGTGTTTACTCATTCTGGAGCAAAATACACATATCACTTCATTCCTAAAATGCCCTAGAACTTAGGTGTTCCTGAACCTACATTTTGGCATTCACAATTCATGGCAAATAAGACATTAATCAGACATTTGCTATCTTCTCCACATTTCCAAGTTTTGAGGACTGTGGAGTAATATTAAACCATGTACTCCAGGTCTTGTGGAAGAATGAAACACTCCAGTTTACACGTTTGCAGATTAAAGTTGGTCACTGTGTAATGGGCATATCTATTGATGTTTATCCTCCAACCAAGCCTAGTGAGGATGGGGGTCACTTGGCTTATTTAAATTATCTGTACTATAAAATAGTCTCTGGTGATTAGATCACAAGACGAGTTCATTTTAGCTGCTAAATGAGTGACAAGTACGTTTTTCATAATTTCTTATAAATTTGTACATAGAGAAATCTAGTAGTAAGGGCTTAAATGAATACAAAGTATCATTCACACTTTATTAGGTCCTAGAGAACTTTGAAAAGCGAAACTTTCTAAAAGTGAACTTTTATCTGAAGATTTAAAGAGTTAAGGAGCAATATACTTTAAAATGTTTCCTAGCTTTAATCATAGCTATATTTAACATCACTCACTGGCAATGTCAAGGATATACAGAATAATAAAAGGGCGAAGTATGAGTAGAAGGCTTATTCGTTATTTATATTACCTCTTTTCCTTTCCCTGGGAACTTCTCATCTAAAGAAAGGTCATTCGAATCCTCAAGAGTAGTTATCTCTAGGCAGAAATCCACTCCACTGGAGTTTGAGCCACAGCCCTAGAACAAGACTTTAAAAGGGAAGTACACAGCCCTGGCCGGCTTGGCTCAGTGGATAGAGCGTCAGCCTGTGGACTGAGGGGTCCTGGGTTCGATTCCGGCTAAGGGCACATGCCTAGGTTGTGGGCTCCATCCCCAGGGGGGGTGTGCAGGAGACAGCCAATCAATGATTCTCTCTCATCATTGATGTTTCTATCTCTCTCTCCTTCTCCCCTCCTCTCTGAAATCAATAAATATATTTTTTAAAAAAGTTTTAAAAAAAAGGGAAGTACACAAGTCACTCTTATCAAGTCAAACACCTTACTAATCAAGATGTAATAAAGTAACGGTTATTGACCTGTCAACTTATGTCTCATCCATTTATTCACTTTACAAATTTGTGAGTGCTAAGTGTATGTAGCACCATGTATGGTCACACTTGGCACACTTGGTTAGGGATGGACGCAAGGACAAGTAGAAACAATCTCTGCTCTTATGGAATTTACAATTTCCACTTTTGGAATGGGGAGAGAAGCATGGCAAGGGGAAGGGGAGATAAATATATAAATCAAACACAGCACTAATACTCTGACCTTTCTTTTATATGAAATCAAAACAAGTAAAACAAGAAACGAAGCATATTACACTTGAGAAACTATAACTAGCTTATGCTAGGAGCCAGGGCCAAGTGGAATATGGAAGGAACTTAATTTGCATCTAATGATCTCTTATTTTACTACTGGTTACAGATGAGTATTATTTACTATTAATTTATTTGAGTAGGAAAAGAGAAGCTGAAAAATCTTACAAAGAGAAACATCTCACAAAAGAAAAATTGGATTATAGATAAAACCCTATTTTTTAAACTGTTAATCTCTACAAATGCAAGTGATCAGATTATTCAAAAAAGTAACAATAACTCTGATACTTTTTTCCTAATGAAACATTCCAATCTCTTATATTTTATTGAATGCATTTTTTACTGTTAGGTACTATTTCTTGGTTTTTATCTATTTAGCTAACACATCTGCTCTTATGAGATAAAGCATGTCAAAAACTGAGAAGCGTGACAAACTATATAAATGTTAAGATGTCTTTTTAAAAATACAAAGCTATACTGTACTATCTGCCAAATTTAATGCCACATCATTCATCACATTACCAAATCACACCAAGCATGACACAGAGACAATTTGTTTAAGAAAAGTTTTACTAATGTGTTAATATTTCAGCAAAGTTATTGCATTGCAACGGGTTTAAAAGGCAGACAAATATTAATAAAGCCTATAAAGTAACAAAGGTGTTTTATATAATTAAAATATAACACAGACCTGTGGGATTTATTGAGAAACTAACAGACCCATAAAAGAAATTAAATCTGAAAGAGTAAATCCAGTATTAGCACCTACAATATCTCTGAAACTAATTGTTACTATGTCATTCTCTCCTAATATATTTAACTCTCTCCCAAATATGGTGCTCTCAAACCTCAAAGGTGAATGAAAGCCATAAGAAGCCCAATACTAAAAACATACAGCCAAAAGAACTAGAAATATTGACTCAGACTTGAGAGTTTTAGTTGGAAATCACTTAACTTACTGTATCATAAGATTTCTGTGCAATGAATACTGTATATAAGGAAAGTCTATGAATCATTAGATTTGCCAGTAGGGATAAAAATTAGTAATATACAGTATTATTCCTATCAAATTTTTTTTCTCATAAGTTATATTTATAACAAAACTATAATTAAAATATTTATTACACTTGCTTATTACACTTTCAGGAGCATTTATGTGTTTGATGGTTTAGCATCCACTGTATTGTGCTTACTTATTTATATAAGGAACAAGCAACACATACCACATCTTCCCAACATTCAAGGTAATGTAATGATAATAAAATTCTCCAAAGAAAAATACTGGAAACTGTATTAAATACTGCTTTATTAGAAATAATTGCTATAATAAAACAAAGAACACATTATTTTTCCAATGAACTTCAGTTTGAGAAACTTAACAACAGAAATAGATCTTTAAGATTTGAGTCATGGCAAAACTGATAGTTCTTTGAAATCTGGGAGATGCATTAGCAACACCACAGACACAGCCTACCCTATACTAAAATCCTGAAGAAAAGCATTTTATTAATTTGGGGGAATGAGACTGAACACTGGCTAAGACATGACTTTGAGGTCTATAGCCACCTGGGAAGCTGGCCCAAGGGATGAAGAGAACCATTGGTACTGGTGGCAGATAAGAAATAAACTTAGCGTTGGGTGACCACCTGCATATTTCATTAATGGCTCTGAATAAAAAAAGTGAAATGCTTCATTGTGTTTTCTCAGAAACTAATGAAAAGATTACAGAGTCCTACAGAATTTGGAGACAAAAAGTGGATGCTGAGCGACTAGCGGTCACTCCAGGTGTGGAATTTTAGAAAGTTAGTCCTTGGAGTAAATGGCACCGTGGCTCTGGCAGCAGATATAAAGGAATGACGCTCTGTAGAGGAGGTAGGGGACGCTCTGCGATCAGCCAGTGGAGAGATGAGGTTCCCAGCTGGAGCTGGGATCTATAATCAGAGGGAAAAAGTAAAGGTTTTAGAAAAGGATGCTAAAAATAACCTCTAAAACATCTCTCTACAACAACTGATATGAATCCCTAATATGTGGGCTATCTAATACTTGAATCTGTACTATGTGCTTAAGTGAGTTCAGAGCTCAACAGTATAGAAAGCTAACCCCTGATTATTTTGAACTCTGACCAACTAATTTAAGCTCTTTGTACCCGAGTTTCCTCATCTGAAAAATTGGGATAACAGTATCTGGGTTGTGATGATTAAAATTAAGCATTTACAAATAGTGCAGGCACATAATAAGTGCCAATAAATATTAGCTATTTTTATTATCATGAATTTACTGTGATAGAATGACTATTTTTTTAAAATAAAGACAATCTTAATCCAAAGAGAGAAAACACCATTAATATATTTAACTAGAGTCCCGGTGCATGAAATTCATGCATGGGGGGGGGGGGGGTTGGGGGGTGAGGGTCCCTCAGCCCGACCTGCACCCTCTCGCAGTCCCAGACATCCCTCTCCCAGTCCGGGACCCCTCAGGGGATGTAGCAGTGCGCCAAGTGGCAGGTGGCCAGGGAGGAGCCCGAATCAGGGCTGAGCGCCACTCGCGCTCATCCCGGCCTGCTGTGCCTGCTGCCGCGGAGTCAGGAGAGGCTCCCGCTGTGGCAGCTGTGCTCACCAACCATGAGCCTGGCTTCTGGCTGAGCGTCACTCCCCCTGTGGGAGTGCCCTGACCACCAGGGGGCAGCTCCTGCATTGAACGTTTGCCACCTGGTGGACAGTGCGCATCATAGCGACCGGTCGTTCTGGTCATTCCACAGTAACAGTCGCTTAGGCTTTTATTATATAGACTAGAGGCCCGATGCATAAAATTCATGCATGGCTGGGGTCCCTACGCCTGGCTGGCAATCGGGCTGATCTGCAGGGTGACCAGCAGGGTGATGAGGGCCCCCCCTACCTGCCAATCGCCTCCCTCTGTGGGGCGATTGCCGTGCCCCCCCGACCCCCAGCTGGCACCCGCCTTGACTGGCCTGGGGCTTGTGGGCTGGGGGCAGCTCCTGCGTTGAGCATCTGCCCCCTGGTGGTCAGTGCATGTTATAACGACCGGTCTTTCCACTGTTCAGTCAATTTGCATATTAGGCTTTTATTATAAAGGATAATAAAGATATTTTAAAAATTCAACTTAAAAATAACAAAATATTTTGGTTAAAGATCTATTTGTGTACTTTTTGTCAAGTCATTAATTCTCATATAATGCTTCAACCTGCAGACACCTTGTAGACTTAAGAAAAATAGCAGAATTGAATTAATTATTCTTATAGTTTTTCCCCTCCTCCAAAGCTTTAGCCTACACTGGTTCCTGTGCTTGAGGAACACATAGCTCTAAAAACTAAACTGTGCTGAACAAAAATATTTGCATTCATGAAACTATCCAGAAGTTCCTAATGTAAATCTTACCCATTGCAAAATTTTACAGTTGTTTGAATATTGATAGATTAGTCTCTGGTGTGTAATTGCTCAAAACCCCACACCACTTCAGAAAAACATTATATTTAGCAATAATAGCTGCAAAATGAGTCATGACAAATGCATTGTGCCAAGTCAACGCAGCTGCAATTGATAAAACAAACTTATTTCAATGGCATGTAACAAAAACCACACATAAGGTTCCTGACTGCTCATTTGAGAAATATCAGTTTGGAAATTGTTCATGAGAAAGAGTAAGAACAAACACCACTAAGTGTTCCAAAGCAAAGCCATTTTAAAGAAATATAAGGTATGACAGATGATAACATCATTTAGGCCTTTGACTTTCAAGAATTCAGGTGACACATTCCCTAGTGCTAAAGGAAGGCAGTTTTGGAATGTTGGTTGGTCTGTAGGATTCTGTAAGTGGTATAAGAGCAGACAAAATGTATTTTTAAAAAGTACTGAAAAAGAAAAGGGGATACACACTTGGAATAATCTAATCAACTTTCCTTTCTCCATATTCTTGCTACTGCAAGTATGAAGTATGGTATAAAAAAAAACAGGTTTATGGCCAATCGGTGCGACTTTGAGAAGATCATTTAATCTATTTGTACCTTGGTTTGTGCATCTGTATAATAGGGAAATTTGGCAGAATTCTTGTGAGAATTAGAAATACCATTTGTTTAATATCTGGCACATATGAGGTACCTCAGGATGGTAGCTATTATTGTTGTTGTCCTGGGAAGGAATATGTTTGTTTTGGTAGATTCTATTTCTATGCTGCCTGTTAGTGATAGATGCCGGTAAACAACGTTAATTAGGAAAACGCAGCAGCAGAACACTATCTGTAGAAAGAGTAAAAACTGAAATTGGCACAAACAGTGTAGTACAATTTTCTGTCACTTAGAAGACTGTGCTAATGTACTATGGCTTCTACGTGATTTTTCCCATAGATTTCTATTAATATCACCTAATCTGTTTCTCACTTATTCAAGGTCATTTTATGGATATATAAGAACATAAACATTCGAAACAAAAGAATTAAATTTATGGTTCTACCCACTGGTAGATAAAATACTCATCTGTGGGGCTATGAAATACTCATACTCTCCCCACTCCACTCTGAAATGTTTCTTTGGTTTTTAAAAGCCATTCATCATACAGGCAGGGGAACCTCTGACCTGATTCTTTTTTTTTTTTAAATATATTTTATTGATTTTTTACAGAGAGGAAGGGAGAGGGATAGAGAGTTAGAAACATCGATGAGAGAGAAACATCGATCAGCTGCCTCCTGCACACCCCCTACTGGGGATGTGCCCGCCAACCAAGATACATGCCCTTGACCTGAATCGAACCTGGGGACCCTTCAGTCCGCAGCCGAGGTCTATCAATTGGGCAAAACGGTAGCGCTCTACATGTTCTTATATGCAACCGAAGTGCTAAAGGCGGGAAAGGTTATAGAGTTAAAGGAGACTAGGGCCTTCCGCGCCGGAAAGCG